TACATGGCCTCGATGGATCTATACCTCTAGGTCCAAAGACAGATTTCTTTTGTGTTGCCTGCACGTTAGCGAAGTCACACCGCTCCCCATTTTACTCTAATAGAGTTGTTAAACGTGCTACATCACCTTTGTCAAAAGTCCATTCAGATATCTGTGGTCCACTACCTGTGCCTAGCCTTACTGGTTGTCGCTACTTCTTGATCTTCATCGATGACTTTTCTCGATTCATGTTCACTTATGCAATTAAGAACCGTAGCGAGTTGTATGGGCTGTTACGGAGGACTTCAGGGAAGAAAGCCCTGGAATATTTTCAGACAAGATATATCTGTCATAGAGTACGCGTTCAGTGTTGAAGACAATGCAAACCAGGGTAACTTTGAGATTCAGCGGCTTCAAGCAGACAACGCTAAAGAGTACGAGAAGCTTGGCCGCATCATATTTAAAAAGTATGGAACTCACGCCCAGTTTACCAATGCATACACACCTCAGCAAAACGGAGTTGCAGAACGCCGCATGCGTACCATTATGGAGCGTGTCCGAGCCCTTCTACTTGACAAAAGCTACCGAAGCAGTTATGGGCCGAGTGTGTCTGTCATGTGACCACTCTCATCAATATGACTCCTAGCTCCAAGACGGATGGACGAACCCCGTATTAGCTTTGGCACAACCGTATTCCATCCATGCAGTACATCAAAGTATTCGGATGCAGCGGATATGTCCACATCACGGAGCAATACCGAGACAAACTCGACGCTTGAGCCCGTTTGTGTATGTATCTTGGTGTGCCTGACCATAAGAAAGGCTACCGTCTGATGGACATCAATACTCATGCAATTATCTACAGTCGTGATGTAGTCTTTAAAGAGGACGAATTTCCCTCTCTCACAGGCCTGACGTCTACTCCAGAGACCACACAGTCCACGAATCGGCAGAAATCTACCGCTACACTTGCACATGTACCTCTGCCACCTGCAACTGCTACTACAGTAGCACCGGAGCCTGAACATGTGTCAGAACCAGTGATCACACCGTCACCCACATCAGGCCCTGCAATGACAACAGCGCCAGGCACAGTGAACCAACGTGTACTGCCCTCACTGAGGGAGGCTGTTGATCGAACAGCCATACATTATTCTTTTCGAACAGAGACGGACTCTGATCCTCCGCATCATTCGACTCCTAAGCGACCCCGCCTCTCTGCGGAAGCCATTGATAGCTCTGAGGAAGCCAATGACGTAACCCTCAACTCTGAGGAAGGCATACACGAACAGGAGCAACGTCAGCATTTACTGTACACATTACTAGCTATTCGGTATGTGTCTGAGCCCACTACGTATCGGGGAGCAATGAAGTCTTCCCACGCTAACCAGTGGCGTAAAGCAGCTAAATCGGAATACAAGTCCCTCATGGACAATCACACTTGGGTGTTGGTATCCCCTCCTAAAGGAAGGAAGATTTTAAGTAGCCGATGGATCTTTGTAGTAAAGTATACCGGCACTGGCGAGATCGACCGCTTTAAAGCGCGTCTTGTGATCAAAGGATTCCTTCAGGAATATGGCATCGACTACAACGAGATATTCTCTCCTGTCATCAGGATGGAGGTACTTAGACTACTTCTTACTATTGCAGCTCTTCTCGACTTTGAAAGTCCATCAAAATGGATGTTAAGACAGCATTCCTTAAATGGCTACTTGGAAGAGGGAGATCTACATGGCTCAACCGGTGGTTTCAAAATCCCGGGGCAAGGAGCACCCTAGTGTGTAAACTTTCTTAAAGAGCTTATATGGGCTTAAACAAGCGCCTCGTGTATGGTACCAAACCTTGTCTGCCTTCCTAGAGAATCTCGGGTTCCTGAAACTCATTAAAGATCGATGCGTATTTCGACGCACAGTTGCTGACATCACCTGTTACATAGCAGTGTACGTCGACGACTTACTGATCATTGCGCCTACACCAGCACTCGTCAGTGAGCTGAAATCAGCCTTGAAAAAGCGTTTCTCCATGTCAGATTTAGGGGAGGTGAAGTACTTACTCGGCTGGTCAATTCAACGTGACCGTAAAAACCGAACGATGTTTATCCACCAGCACAAGTACGCTACGAAGGTCATTGACCGCTTCAGCGACTACATTCCGTACCCTATTGCAACACCAGCAGAACGGAACGCTAAACTTTCCGTAAGCAGCCAGCCCAGCAGTGAGCAAGAGAAAGATGCGATGAAATCGATTCCGTATCGACAAGCTGTAGGTAGTGTCATGTATTTAATGGTAGGCACTCGACCCGATTTGGCATTCTACATGCGAGAGGTCAGCCAATTTCTAGCGAATCCAGGTATGGATCACTGGAAAGCAGTCATTCGTGGTCTAAAGTACCTATCTGGAACGAAAGAATACGGTCTTCTTCTGGGAGGCTCGACCGATATTACATCGGAAAACCTTGCCGATCAACTAATTGCCTACAGTGACTCTGACTACGCCAACTGCCCCGACTCGAGACGCTCCATTGGAGGATACGTGACAATGCTAGCTAGCGGTCCTATCTCATGGCTTTCGCGTAAGCATCATACTGTAGTTCTCTCTACAACAGAGGCAGAATATATCGCCCTGTGTCACTGCATGCAAGAGATGATATTCCTCAAACTTCTCCTCAACGAACTTGGCTTTGCTACAACGCAGGCTAACACAATATACGAGGATAATCAGAGCTGCATCAAAATCTGCTACAACCCCGAACTTCACGGACGATCAAAACATATACACGTACGATACTGTTTCGTGCAAGAAAAAGTAGAGCGGCATGAATTCAACATCACCTACTGCAATACGAAAGAGATGATAGCTGACATCTTTACTAAAGCTTTAGATAAGCACCAGTTTAGAGAACTAAGGGCCAAGCTCAGGATGAAATGTCTGAAAGCAGGATCCGGCCACTCAGTTTAGAAATACCATGATAATACAAGCGCATGAAGCGTGTCTATATTCTGCGTTCTTTTTAGAATTTTTTCCCACTGGGGTTTATTCTTTTTTGCTCGCACGAGGTTTTCCCTCGTTGAGGTTTCCCTGGTCAAGTACCGAATTATCTAGACACATGAGTTTATCAATAATAATCCATGCTTAACAACAAATTTGTTAGAGATACGCCAGTACATCTCAGTCGCTTTCACTTTCAGCATTTGTGTCACTCTGGACACGTAGTCGGTGTCATAATGTGTAGATTTTGTGGTTTCTGTGTGACAAATGACATCATCACTAAATACCCCAGCTTAGTGACTTCTTCGATGGAGTGGTGGCCACGTGTGCTCGAGAAGCCCCTTCCCCCCTCCTCCAGCGTGGCGATGAGAACTGGCGCAACCTGCAGTGCTGTCCGCGGCGCCCGCTTCTTCTTCTCCCTCATAAGAAGCGCTCTTTGCAGATCGGAAGGGCTCTGTGCCCACCGAAATAGCCTCTACCGATGCGAGGGAGCCTGCTTCGTAGCAGCGGCAAGTAGAGACGACATGTTGGGCTCCATCCTTGAGTTCCTACCAGGCGTGTCACTTAGCGTCCTCCTTCCCTAGCAGAAACTGCAGGGCAAAGTCAGATCGGCTAGCCTAAGCGACTTCCTGGCGGCGTTTCAAGGACTGAGGAAAAGTCCTTTAAGGAAAATTTTACCTCTGTTATAACATAGAATTGTCAGTTTGATAAAATATGTTCAGAGGCAGGGAGGCTGTTGAAGTAGCCTCTAAACAGTTTGATTACCTTGACCTTAGTCACTCCAAAATATTATAATGAGATTTAGGAGGTCCTGTTTAAGTCGGTACGACTGGCTTAAACTATACAGACACTAATGGCTGGTGTAAAGCTATTGGTGGCTTCCTAATACTAATACAAGATACTGCACTTCGTCTTTTGACGCCTACAAGTAACG